TGTGTGTGTGTGTGTGTGTGTGTGTGTGTGTGTGTGTGAGAAAAAAATCAGTTGATTGGTTGACAGTTGAGAGGCGGGCCAAGAGCTCAACCCCCGCAAGCACAACTAGGTGAAAACATACACTCACACACGAGCACACACATATACACTCACGCGTGCACACATACATACGCACGCGCACACACATACATACACCCCACGTGCAAACTCACACGCATCCCACATACATACATACACACACCCATACACACACACACCCCACACAGACCAAAGAGCCGAAGCTCAGCCCCAGCAAGCACAACTAGGTGAGTACACTTACACACACACACCCTCCCACACTCGCACACACCCACGCACACACCCTCGCATACATCCACACCCTCGCACACACACACACACCCACACCCACGCACACCACAACTCAGTCATTTAACTGCAAACAAAGTTCAACTAATATCTAGAGATAAACCTAATTGGTAGAGTTGTAGCGTAATTTACCAAGCACTAACTACCAATTAAGGAGTGGATAATAGGTAATAAGTGCCATCTTAAGACACTTTAGCTGTGTGTATCAACAACACACAAACATACCATTATACGAAGCTATAGTAATTATACGGAGAGAGAGAGAGAGAGAGAGAGAGAGGAGTGATCAATATATTGTTTGGTAACACGTTGGGCTAACGTTGGAAGTCAAGACAACTCCCAGCAGGGGTCACAGGTCACCAGTAGGGGTCACAGGTCACCACCAGGGGTCACAGATCACTATCAGGGGTCACAGATCACCAGGAGGGGTCACAGATCACCAGGAGGGGTCACAGGTCACCACCAGGGGTCACAGGTCACCAGCAGGGGTCACAGGTCACCAGCAGGGGTCACAGGTCACCAGCAGGGGTCACAGGTCACCAGCAGGGATCACAGATCACCACCAGGGGTCACAGACCACCACCAGGGGTCACAGACCACCACCAGGGGTCACAGATCACCACCAGGGGTCACAGGTCACCAGCAGGGGTCACAGATCACCACCAGGGGTCACAGACCACCACCAGGGGTCACAGATCACCACCAGGGGTCACAGACCACCACCAGGGGTCACAGATCACCACCAGGGGTCACAGATCACCACCAGGGGTCACAGACCACCACCAGGGGTCATAGGTCACCACCAGGGGTCACAGACCACCACCATGGGTCACAGGTCACCACCAGGGGTCACAGATCACCACCAGGGGTCACAGGTCACCACCAGGGGTCACAGGTCACCAGCATGAATGACGGGTCTTCCCCCAAACACTCAACATATCGTTTAAAGAGAGAACCTGTACTAAGCCAAGGAACACTGCTCCACATTAGCCGTCCCGTATACACCAGCGCCGCACCACATCAAAATTCTTCAAAGTTCGCGCAGAAATACAACTAATTACCTTTGTTACAATTGTTGAAGCATCTTGGTACCCAGAGCCTCGTCTTGCACAATAGAGTGAACGCCTGAAAGAGGACGTCCACCATGGTAGACAAACAGGTTTACAAGACTTGTATCTTTATCAGTCTTGTTGGGTTGTTACGGAAACCTTTTTTGAAGGTTCAACTTGTGGATAAGATTATACTATTATTATGTTAAGTATGAGTCTGGGCGGCGGCCATCTTGGACCAGAGTACCATAGGTACATTCCCAGACCCTTGCTTTCTTTCAGGCATTTCCTCTCTGGATCGCGACACTGAGACGCTGGAACGGGAAATTGACTGTTCTTTGTTCCCTGATTTGCCTAATGAGTTCCTCCTGCACCTCCTTTAGGAACTTTAGTGCACATTTACCCCAGGCGCCCAGGGTCTCTGAGCCTATTGGCACCAACCTGGAACTACGTACGAAGATCCAGTGCTTAACAGCTTTCCGTGTTATCTGAAGGTTAACGTCTTCTCTAATTAATAACAATAAGTCCCACCACCCTCAGCTTCACTGCACAGTAAATATCAAC